GGAATATCGCATGTATATGTGAGGGGGGGGAGTTTGGAGCGGGGTGTGTGGGAGGGAAAAGGAGGGGATAGAAAAAAGATAACATAGCAAACACATAAGCTAAAACATAGCAACACGATGAATCAACAATCCTAGCAACCTATCACTTAGATCCCATCAACATGTGGCAATCGGATCCATGGATGTGCAATTACAATGGCCGTACGTGGTTGAATGCTCGACCATCCGACTCTGTAATGGGTATTGTCAGATGATAGAGGCTTCAGGAGTGACAAATATTATACCACACCTTATCCAAAACTTGCATGACCCCCTCTCATTGCTGATGATCTCAAGCGTAACTTTTTCAAAACCACATATAAAAGGGATCTCGAGATATGCATTTAATACTTTTTTTTTTTTTTTTAATCTCATTAGCTAGTCTGACCAATCCGTTCGATTTGACTAGCTCTCAACGTTCTAACCTCGAGAACTAATTTAATCATAAGAAGGGTTTTTGTTAGGAATACTCTTTGGCTTAGTTTTGTATGGTCGTTATCTCAAAAAATTATTGAAAGATATCTAGGATAGCTGTAAAGTGAACTTTAGTTGGATCTAACTTATCTCTATGGTGGAACAATCAAAATCTATTTTAATAACTCAAATTGTGAAGTGTGTCCGTATGATATGGATGTTTTATAGGTAAATGTTAGGTAAAAAAAACTCAAGATTAGAACAATTATCTTGTTTTTAGGAAACTTTTTTAAGAAATAAAGGATTTTATTCCACTAGTATTTCAAGGACTAAAAAAAACTTGTGGTTCTATGATCAGTTGCATTCTAGAAAAAAGGATTACATTATACAGTAACAGTAGACTCATTCAAAAGAAAACAACTACTTGTTCCAAGATGTGCTTGATGATAGACTCAAGAGAGCAAGAATAAAATTAGCTCCTTTGACAAACTTAAGGACCTCCAATGCATCGAATTTGAGGCAGATTTGAGAAATATTCATCACCTCCAAATATAAATTTTGGGCAAAATATTCAACAATGGGACAATTACATTGTTTCCAAAAAATAAAAAAAAGTTGGAAACTTCACTAATTTAGGTTTAAATTTGATCAAATTTTGCAAGATCAATTTTCATGGTATGGAATCCGTTTATGTTCATTTTAATAATGAAAATCCTAAGAATGAACTAATTACATTGTTTCCTTGGAAACAATGTAACTGAATAATTTTTTTGTTTTTTTAAACCAAACATTACTCACAGGACCAAAAGTATTAACTTTTAGTGTGTGTGTGTGTATATATATATATATATATATATATGATCTTAAAAAATAAAGAACCGTATTTTTATATCTTCATAAGCATTCTGCTAGGTTTTATAATTTTGAATATAATTTATATCTATTTTTCAATAATTATATACTTAAAATTATTCTAAAATATAAAAACTTGGATTATTAAATGATTCTTATGACTATTAACATTGTTTTCTATTTTTTTTTATAGTTATTCGATTTTTTTTTTCATCGGGTTGATTTTTAACGTATCGAATCGGATCGAGATAAAACTGACTAGAAAAAAAATAAAGAAGGATAATATTAGGATCTCGAAAAATAGGGGATGCTTGAATCATCGGATCAAGAAAAAAGGGACTGGAAAAGAAAAATAAGGAAAATATTATGATATATAAAAATAAGGGATGCTGGCAAGCAAAGAAATGAAACGGGATACTCCTACCGGGGAAAATAAAAATAAAAAATCAAAACCAGGAACCTTTATTACATATGTCAATTTATGCTCCATAAATTGAACAGGCTTGTGGTGTATTAATACCCCATCTCCATCCATCATCATAAATTATGTCATGTCATGTCATGTCATGTGCACACGATACGTGTGACAAAACATGTCTAATTTCAAATGATACCTTTTTGATATGAGGCCGAGGTGCATGAAGAATGAATTAAAAGATGGAAAGCATTTTGCAAGCGGGTTGGGGGTATATGCCTTTGTGCCAATTGGTGTCCGATTTGGTCTCCACAAAACCCATTCTTGGTCTCCATATGACGATTCAACTACTTGTCAAGGAGATATACTGACAAGTAGTCTACTTAATCGATCATAACAAAATTGATATAATGACTAAAAAAAAAGAAAAAAAAAAAAAGGGACAGCAAGGAGTCCGTCTACTCACGCGAGTAATCTCAATCGTTGGAGGGCATGGCATGCATAGAGACTTATGTACACATCAGTTTATTATATGTGTACTCCTTACATGTTTTGGGGTCAGCATCGGACAAGGAACTCTCTTGGGACTTGAAAACCAATGTAGCGAGTGTTGACACCTGAAAGCCAATGAGATTGATGATCCATCGTAAAAAGGTGATAGAAGTAATGACATCACATTGGCAACGCTGTTCACATCAATGGAAGTATGACTTGATGCTTCATTGTCAAGAGTGTACTCGACATCAATTTTCTTGAGCTGGTGTGCCAGTGCAGCAGCATGTGGCTTGTTTGGTCAGAAACAGGGTGCTCATGTGCTCACATCTAATCCTATGTTCTGAGATAGAGTTCGATGTGTATCCACCACCTCTTGATGCCAAAATTCTTCGTGCATCAAATCCTCAGTTACATCTCAATGACACGAAGGAGGATAAAAAAGATTACAAACACTCTTTCTTTCTTTGCTTGAATAATTTCAATTTATCATATTTATCTATAATGGTGTCTGCTTCCAATAAATTAAAGAGTTGAATCGAATCGCTTGAGATCGATTCTAGTTTGCTTTGGAACTGATAAATTGTCGAGTCCATTTAGTTCCGATTCGAATTGAATCATAATTAGCAGATCTATTTATACTTATTTTTTTAAAAATAATATAACATATTTTTATTTTTTTAAAAATTTTAAAAAAAATAAATAAATATGATGGAGAGTTGGTCAAATAGCTTCCTTAGGCGGACGGCCTCAGAAAGAGATAGGTCAAAGAGACGGATGCTTGCCTTCCTCATCTAAGCCCCGGAGAGCTGTTCCCCCACAAACCAAAGGGAGCTCATGGATTTCACAAAGCCCTTCCGGTGAAAGCTCCACAATCATCCACATGGTGGTTGTCTTCAGCATAAAGTTTGGCCCTTTTCATCCACCGATCATAATGCCTCTATCGTCATGATCATCATCGTCGTCCAGCTACCAGTCGCAAAGAGAAGGCATGCTAAGCTTCCCTCAGCCACCTCTCTTTCTTAGCTTGTTTTCCCGAATCCAGACCATGAGATACTGATGTGTTTCCTTTTGCAGATGGAGAGAAATGTTTCCGACTACGTGATTGGTAGGAGTAGAATATAGACAGTAGGTAGGAAGAAAGAAATAATAATAATAATAATAATAATAAAGTATTTTTATTTATCAACGTATAAGTCCGATTAATGATCAATACATGAATTCAAATATAAGATAGTGATGAAAATGATAAATTTATCGAGCGAATTTCATGAAAAAAATCTTTTTTAAAAGTTTTTTTTAATGATGACCTCATTTTTTTAATATCTCAAATGCTTGTGGTTGTTTGTCATCGATATCTTTTTCTCCTTTCGTTACGATGATGACACGATCAAAGTGATAGGGCAAAAACGACGAGGCCTCATACGGAAGAAGAGGAAGATGACATATGATAAAGCGAAAGTGATATGATTGAAATAGAGGAAAGAAAACAAAAAGGAAGGAGACGATCACGTTAGAGCAGAACTAACGAGGCATCGTGAAAGTAAGGCAGCTCAAAAACATTCGATAATACTCAGTCGAAGAAAAAGGTGACGACAACAAGTAACATTTAAATATATTAATGATAAACGAAGGCACCAAATGAGAATATTAAAAAAAAAAGAATATCATTCGAGAAAAATAAAAAAGAGCTTTTTCCTAAAATCACTCAAACTTACTCATAATATTTATATAACTTATGACATCATCATCAACCATTTATATACATATTATGTTATGCAACAACTAAATTGTCACTGACTTTGTATTGCAAAAAATAATTTTGTATAAAAATAAAAAAAAGAATAGGTGGATCCAAATGTAAAATAATAATGAAAAATATGCTCATGGACTTTATAGAAAGTAAAGAAATATGTACGATGAAAAGAAAAGAGATATAAAAGAACTTTTATTTAGAAACAAGGATCCAAATGTAAAATAGTTACATATGGACTTATCCAAATTCCTGTAAGTATATCAAAACCGTGGTGAGATGACCGGCTTTTCCCAAAAAAAATTAAACCAAGTGTTTATTCTGCGGGTGCAAGAGGTTTCTACTTGGCGTGCGTGCAATGCAAGTGGACTTCATCCACGTGGGACTGATCGTGGCCCTTGGTTTAGACCAGATTTTGTTTCAACGAAAACATTAAAATAGATAATAAAAATGGAGCGCCGGTGACCAACCACATCAACCATGCTAACTAGCCCGGTTGTACCAGCCATCAAGTCCTGGAACTTTAGGTGCGTCACCTGTCGCTGTCAGCAACAGAGAGATGACGGCGCGAGTGACGTGGCAAAACGTTTGCACGCCCAACACCCGTTTCGCCCACCTGCCTGCCGAGGCGGTTGCGTGTGGTCCGGGCTAGAGGCACACACGTGGCCGGGCCCACCTCCGGCCCCGCCGTGCCACTCGTTCGTTCCGTGCCACGCACGCAACGCGCATTCGTCCCACTTGGTCCGCCGAGTGTTACAAAACCTAACACGAGATCCAGGTGCGATAAATACTTTCTTCGGATGGCGTCGTGGACGAACCACCCTCCTCCATACCTTTATTATCATTGGAGGAACAACTGGCGAATAGCGCCGTTACAGCCGATAACAGGTAAGGCAGGTGAGACAAATAAACCAAGAATCGAGTCGGAAAATAAAAAGAAGCTGCCTATCGACTGCATGCCATCTCTAATCATGATCAATCATCACGATCATCATTCATGCACCCATCCACCGTGTCCACATGAGAGAGAGACCCGTTTAAAAGACCCAACACATCAAGAGAATCCAAGAAGGAGAGCGAAACCACATGGGAAGCTCAGATTCGCCTCTTTCGATCTCCTCGAGCCCTAACCCTAGGGAGATGAGGGAGGAAGAGTCGGAGGAGGAGGAGGAGGAGGAGATCCAATGGAGGGGATGGAGGGACGAAGAGCCGTGGCCGCGGAAGAGCGGTGAGGTGATGCTGGAGGGGTACGTGGACGCCAAGGGCGGCGGGGAGCAGGCGACGAATGGCGTCGCGAGGACGAAGAGCCTGACGGACGACGATCTGGAGGAGCTCAAGGGGTGCCTCGACCTTGGGTTCGGGTTCAGCTACGAGGAGATCCCCGATCTGTGCAACACTCTTCCAGCGCTGGAGCTCTGCTACTCGATGAGCCAGAGGTTCTTGGACGAGAAGCAGCAGCAGAACCGGTCCATCGACCGCTCATCCTCTAGCGAGTCCCTAGATCTGTCCGCGTTGCCGCCGTCTCCTCCCATCGCCAACTGGAAGTTCTCCAGCCCAGGTAAACGTGTTTGCCTTGTACCCTCTCTTTTCTACTCTTGCGAAGGACTAGTTTCGTTAGTTGCAGGAGTGAGCCAAAGATTCGATTTTTGTTTCTCGACTTACGATTCGGAACGTCCTTGCTTTGATTTGATCTTTCAAGAAAAAAAGATTTATCCGAACGGATTATTCCTCATATTACTGCATAAATCTTTGGAAGGTCAAATAGCAAGAAAAAACCAATTTTTATGCCCCAGTACGTTTCCGTGAATAAATGGAGGAGGTTATTTTTTTGATTTTTTTTTCTCTTTTTACAGCATTATCAAAAGCTTTCCTTGAATTTGTATAATATCTGCTCTTTTTTAGGTTCAAAAGGTTGCTTGGTGAATTTGATTTAGTTGCTAATGCACGAAATTTAATTTAGTTTTCACTTCTGATGCTGCCAGGAGATGATCCTGATGAAGTTAAAGCAAGACTGAGGTATTGGGCCCAAGCAGTGGCTTTTACTCTCAGATTATGCAAGAAATAGAGACTGCATTTTTATGAGTTCTTTTGATGACTGGAAGAATTAATTGGTCGGATTTTAATGCCGAGCCCATGTTTGGTAGAGTGACTATGCCTGATGCTTTCCTGCTCAATGTCATCAGATGCATCTGTGACTTTGTGGGAGGGTAGAGTTTCTTGTTGGAGTCACATACCAGTAATGGGACTGGAGGCATCAAAGAAGAAGAGAGGTGTAGGAGAAAAACATTGATGTTCTGAGGTGTGATAGCAGATTGATACAATGGTAAAGAATTATGTTTCTAGTATTCCATGTATGATAGTGTATATGAATAAATTATTCTTTGGCATGTTCATAGTCTTAGTATTGAATATTATTTAAACGAAGGATTGGTTTGCATCTTGGAGCTCCTCTTCTTGGTTATAGTTGACAGACATGCAATGTAAATGCCTGTTCATTGTAACAAAGAATGATGTCTGTGACATCCTCCTGACAATAGTGCACCTCATGCTGCCGCAAGCATGACAAATTTTGCAGAGATTAACGATACAATGCCCAAACTCTACATATAAATTGCAGACTGAAACTACTAGTTTTATTGATCTTATTTGCTTTCACCAAATTCTTTCCTTGGACTTACAAATTGCAAATCGGCATTATTTGCTTGGACTTACATGTACCATACATACTATTCTTGTTCCTCGATTCTCTAGGTGTCATTCGCATTATGGCATGAAGTCTCTTGTTGGTGTAGTAAGTTTCGCATATTTCTGTGGATGACTGGAATCTTGAGATTGGCATATACCTTTTCCCATATGATACTGGCATTAAGTTTAACAGATGTATGCTCAGAGATTTAGAAGTTGATTAGTTAAGACGTTGATGAGTGTCCCAAATTGTTCTTGTTAGATTAGAAAGAAAATTATACAGCTTATATTTTTATTGCTGAAATTCTTGGAGGTTTTGATGAATGTTAAATGAACCTTGCAATTCATGCTTTGAATACTTTTGAGAAGATGCTGTGTTTGGATGATTCATGGAACAAGATTGGAAATGATAAAATATGATGTGGATACTGCAAGCAACAGTGCTAGTGATTAGTTTCTTCTCTGTGATCTAGTTGTGGAAAGTCTGAACTGTTGCAAGCAGGCAGCTAGCTGTTCAAGTAACTACTGGTCTCCTGAAAGAAACCATGTGCTTTGCTTGCCAAAGGACATTTAAAACATGTTATTTTAGGGATCCCAGTCATCCATGCAGCTAAGCAACTTCTTCTTGTCAAAGGACAGTTTAGCAGTCTGAATTGGGCAGTCAGCTGCAAAGTGAAGAAAGAAAGCGTATCTATCAAGTAGTGAAAAGTGTGTTATCAAACCCTCTTGTTCCATGTTCACATAATTTAGTCAATTAGCAAGTAGAATGGGTTGCACTGCTTTCAGTATTCATTTAGCTCGCACAGGACTTCATACTCTTTGCAGCAGCAGTGCAGGTACGGCTTGCAGATACTCTCAGCATCCTACAGGTTGGTGGATACTGAGTGATCTAGCTACTTCAAAACGTCCATACAGTGAAAAGAGAATGGAAACCTTAAAAAGATACAAATGAAAAGAAAAAGGTGGAATAGATGTTGATCATAAGTGGATATGGTGGGAAGTAACAAAGAAAAAAGGGGATGGCTAACTCTTTCATCAATTACAGGAAAGAAGCATGATCAACAAAAGTTTTACATGAATTTTATATGGCCAACAACTATTAAACGTATCTTTTTTAATATATACATATACATATACATATACATATATATATATATATATATTTATAGTTATACATGAAATTTATACAGCTGACAATTGATCATCAAGAAGCATTAGCATGGTAAATAAACACCGTGAAATTATAAGCAGTAGGATATGAGATACCTCATGCCTGAAACAATTTAATTCAGTATAAATTCAAGGAGGAACAAGTAACTAATCTAAAAGGAAAACAGGAGATTTCTCAGAGCAAGATCACTTGAATTGAGTTTTTGTTATGCTCCATCTTGCAACACTTAAGAATACAATGCAAATTCCGGTGTATTATGAATCATCATGGATATGCAGCTATAGATATAAAAAAATGATCAGGACTCGGACACCGTAAGACCAAAATATTATACGGATGTTTTAGCTACAAATACTGTTTATAGCAGAAATTATGTGTTAGATTGGAATCTGTGGTGTATCATATCAGTCACTGCCTGAAGACAGGGATGGCTGGTCCAAGAAACAGATACAGTTGACTTGGGAGACGAAAAATTAGAACAACAATGACAGTGAAGATTCGAACACTAACAGCCAATATCCATAAAATTCACAAGATTTCTTAATGATTGCATCAGTCCAGGAAGATGAAGTCTATCACACAATAAGGATGATCTTTTCAGTGCCATCCATTTATCTGAACTAAACACAGATTAACCAACCTTGTTGCCAAACATGAACAGAGAGCACTTAGCTCAAGCCTCCAACAACTTTTGGATGTCTTTCTGCAAGAAATTAAGTTATACGAGTATGTACTTTTACGTCAGCAAGTTGAGCAGTCGATTGAAACAATACCAGATTTGAATAAAAAATTTAACCTTTTTTTCTAGAAAAAAAATAAAAGAGAGAGAGTGAAGAAGAAAATAATATGAAAAGGTGTGATGTGTCGTCCTCTGAGACTATATCTCACCCTCATGCATATTTAAGTTAAAGAATCAACCCCAAGATTTGAAAAAAATTCTTCATTCTAATCTGTATAAATAGAAGAGGGACATGTTAATATATTCAAACTAAAACTTCTTTAATGATTCTTTTTCTTTTTATCTTCTATTCTTTCCAACACAAACATCAAGAGAGATCAGAAAATTTTTGGATGAAAGGAAATTGCTTATTCACTTCCATATCGCATTGTCCAATTTATTAGGAGGTGTAGTGTGTGATAGAAAGCATTGCGAGTTTCTTTGCTATTTGGTATTTGAAGGTCAACATGCACCAGATTTTGATCAAATAAGACCATTTCAGGAGGAGATAGAGAATGAGAAGAAGAAAAAAGAAAAAAAATTGAGGAATATGTTTACTTGCTGCTTGTCTACTTATATGTCACAGTGCAGAAATGAGAAATCATCAGATCATAAACGTTCAAATGGACATATGCTAGTTACACCTTATGAAAATAGTTTGGAAAATACAAGTTGAGCATTGCTGCACCTTATTAAAGATGGGGAACTGTTCATGCAACGTCCTAAATCATTTCATTCTTGGATGCAAGGAAATGCTAATATCTCGAAGAAACCTACGATGACAAAAAATCAAAGTTCATCATTCGGAAAGATCTCTGGATACCTATTCGAGTTCCTCTAATGGAGATGAGAAAGGGGATAAGCGAGGGACCTTTGTCCTCGAACAAAGGATTCGTGTCCTTGTAGTTGGAATGAGTTGAACTGATAACAGAGAGGAGATTTCCTCAACATCCAGTAGATTTCATCATTCAGAAAGATCTATGTATGAGGTAATCTCTCTGCTCAATTAAAGAAATCTTAACTTTCTTCGTGTATAAATAGACTTCATATGATACTAATTGAAATGTGCTTTTCTTCGTTCTCTCAATTCTTCGCGAACCACTAAATCACCAGAAACCAACACGAATTGCATTGGAGTATTCAAATATGAAACAGTAGATCTGTAATCTTTATTAGCAATTGCACTACTTTTCGCAATAACATCCAGTAGGTAGGTAGCAGGAAACCAACAAAAGATCAAATTGTATCAAAGGCTTTTTTTGTCTTCGAGCGTATTAAATATCAAGATTGAAATGCAAATTCATTGCAGAGACCAGAGCATTTGTATCGGAATAGATGTTTGATATACAAGAGTAAATTGAGACAGAAAACCTAAATCACACAAAAGCTGCATCTTGCAGTTTACTGCTGCTTGATGCACATCAAGTGCAGAATGGCATGATTCTTTTGCCAAGCATGAACAGGTTCAAGCGATCTTTCACGACATTGTTTTGGCCATGGAGTGAGGCAGGAACCATCACTTCGTTTGGTGACCACACTTTAACCGATACAGCAAAACATTGCATAAGCAATGTTTAATGTACTTGTGCTTAAAACAGAAACAATCTCTAATGTTTAATTTTTCATTGCATAAGCAATGAAAAAGATCAAATCCACAAAACATTTTTTGATGTTCATAACAGAAACTTGTACTTGTACCAAGAAAAAGATCAATAGCAAGTTGAGGTGAGTACCACTTGTTAAGCGTATGTATAATTAAATAAAATTATATATAATTAAATAAGCGTATGTTAAGTCAATATTTTGATTAGTCAAAATTAAAGTGATCTAATTAAAATAAAATTATTTAGTTAAGAGACATAATTATTATAAAAATTAATTATCTGGATACCATCAGTTATATTTCTAACTTAATATCGAGATAAGTTAAGAATATGAAATCACAATCGTAGATTCATTAGTTATGAATATAAATAAAATTATGGTCCCGATTACAGTTTTTAATAAAGTTTCTCTTCGCCCGTCAAAGAGAAATCTAAAGTTCTTAAGGATACTTTGTAATTGGAATGTTAAATCGTCGATTAATTCAGAAAATATTCAGATGGATTTACGTTTACGTATTAATATGTTTCTTAATTATTATAGAATTTCATACATATTAATGTGGATTTAACAAGTTTTATGAAAATATTCTAAAATCTTATTTTGGATAGGAATCAAACACTCATGCTCACATCATTTCCATTCATGTCTTGCAACACACATAATAGCAATCGATCGATTAAGCGGGGAACAAACATCATTGCCATTTACTTGGAAATTGTTACAGATGTGTGGATGTGATTCCGCCATCATCCTTTAAGATTATGGTTCCATTTTAAGCAAGTTACTGTGCTGATGTCAGCCTCTTATATATATATATATATATATATATATATATATATATATATATATATATATATATATATATATATAAATTAATTATGATTAATATGTTATTCTCAAGTTTGCAAAAAATATACATGTAAACTCTTTGAAAGAAAATTCTTCAAAATATTGAGACCCATCGTCCGTGAATATACATACTCTTCTCGTTAAATCCATCCCAAAAACTCTTAAAGTTACTTACTAATCAGTCATAGTTAACAGTAGGTATTTTGAGTTTAGAAATAAGAAAAAGAAGGGTTCAGCTCTCGTCATCCCATGAGATCAAAATGGTTGTTCTACTACCATCACCAATTAAGTCAACTCTGGAATCCAACTTGCAATCCACCCACAGTACAACAGTGGATGAAGCCACCATGATCCTATCTATACCTTTCTTCTGATCTTTCTTTTTTAGGTCATTGTGACTTCCTCCAGC